GCCGCTTTGTCCTGCGTGCGCGGCGCGGGGCACGGAGCATCCCCCGGCCCATTCTCACACGGAATGTCGCACGAACACCACGCAGGGAGCGTTTCCGGAGCGGCAGCTCCTCCCTGTTCGCGCTGTGTTTGAAATGAATGCTCCGTCTCCGCGCATTTGCACGCAGCGCGCTGTGCCTGGTGCCTCGCAGCGAAATGCGCGGAGTGGAGCTGCTCGCTTGGCCGAGCTCTGACAGTTGTGTGCGCGCACGTGACCCGCGCAGACGCCCCCTTCCCTCGCTCCCTGCACCCGGCGGGGAGGGGGCCGAAGCGAAAGAGCTCAAGCCTTCACGATGAATCATTTCTCTCTTTCATTCATTTCTCGTAGACCAAGCCCCCCAACCCTCGGTCATTCCGTGAGCATTCTAGTCTAATTTGAGAGGGGCCAGGATGATCAATGTAGTTCATGCTGCCGTTGTAAAAACTCCAACCATGGTGTGAAAGATGTTTTTTTAAAACCACACAAATGACACGATTTATATTGTGTTTAGACTTTAATTTTTATTTAGTTAATTGTATTTGTTATTATTGTTTTTTATTAGACCAGAGAGAGGACAGTGCGTGAGAGAGAAAGGGATAGTGAGAAAGCAAGCCTCCAGGTTGGGGACTTGAACTGTGGTCAACGATGTGGGAGTCCAGCTCTTCTACCACCACTAGCCTTAAATATTATTATTATTTTAGAGTTTTTTTGCCTTAGGGCACTTGTGCTAGCCAGAGAGAGAGAGGGAGAGAGAGAATTAATCTCCCTCCCACTCCCATCCCCACGGTGTGGGGTGGTGAAGGGAGTTGGCCATGCTGCAATCCCGGTCCGGTTCTGCCAGGATCTTGGGCACCAGCGCCCAGCGTTGTTTCAAGCCCCTGAGTCCCAGACTCTAACTGTGGCCAGTTATGTGGGAGTCCAATGATGTAACCCCTATGCCATCTGCTGGCCCCTAGTGTTAAATTTTTATTGGCAGAATTAAATTGTTTCAGTTCAGATAATTACACTTACCCTTTCCTTCCAGCCAGTCTACACCAAATAGGTGTTCTCATGCCCACAAAGTATAAATCTCAACCTAAAACAACAGAATCCCTGAGAGAACAACGAAATCCACCCAACCCATATATTTACAACTGAGATTCTGCTTTTCAACCTTGCCTCTTATTTTCCAAGCTGTTCTGGTGACACTGGTTTTGGAAATGGTCCTAGAATAATAGGGAATAGAACAGCATTGGGATTTATGGAATTTTAGAGATTTTATAGCCTTTCAGTATATATCTAAGTTCATGAAATGGGATGATTCACAGATTAAAGTGTTTTTCTTTTTTTCTTTTTTGAGAATTTTGCATTTTGCTTTAGGTGATCATCACCAACAAATTGAAATTTTGGACTTCTGTCTACTTAACTGTCCATCATATTCATCTGGAATGTTGAAAATGAGATTTGCCAAATAGAGTTTTGAGTTTTTTTAGTTTACTGTTTACAGTATATGCTTTTAGTTAAACACATTTTTTTTTTGTATTGAAAAAGATAAGAGTGTTAATTGTGGGAAAATGTTAATAATTTGGGAATTCTGGATTAGGGAATCATCTCATTCTCAGTATTAGAAGGACCTTTAAGTTATTTAAGTGTTTTGGTTGAAATGTAATGGTAAGGAATTTTTTGATTTCTTTCTTTTTTTAAGTTTTTAAAATTTAATTTATTTTAATTACTTTTTTTTTTTTAAGGAATTTTATGATTTCTTAAAACTGGCTGACTTGAAGGTGGTGTGGTGGTTAAGGTGCTGGATTCCTACATGGTTGCTCGTGGATTGAGTTCCGGACCAGCAGCTTGAAGATTACGCTGGTCACATGTGTGTGCTTGCCCCAAATCCCAAGAGGATAGTGGAGAAGGGACTGTGGTGTGGCCATCTCCTCTTGGGGGGGTGGGGATGATTTCTCACTTTCCCTCTTACTGTTTCTCTCTGGTGAACTCATGTGCCCTATGGCTAAAACCTTAAAAAAAGAAGTGGTTGACTTTATTGAACCTTCGAATGATATTTTTTTTAGGGATTCTAAGTAGTTACTTCCTAGTTTATGATAGAATATCAGAATTCAGACATATTAATATAGGACAGATTAATTTTATTAAATTTATCAGAAACATTTCAGTGCCTTAGTATGGTTGTTGTGATAATCTATTTTTAAAAAAACTGATTATAAGTTACGTGTGCTGGCCACAGATAGAGAGGGAGGGAGAGAGGGAAAGTGAGAATGTACCCTCCCAAGGGGATGGCCACCTTGTAATCCCTTCTCCTACATCCTCCTTTCAGTATTTTGGGGATGCACGCATACACACCCAGTGTGCTTTATGAAGTCACTGGCTCCAGGACTTTCACCATGAAGTCTGTTGTGTGGGATCCAGCTGCCTTAACCACCAAGCCTTTGGGGCTGGCCCTGCTAATCTACTATTAGTAACTTTAGTATGGAACATTTCAAACATACTCATTTGTATCCACTAGATGGAATAGTGGAATAATCTCCATGGTCCACCACTCAGTTTTAGCACCACTCAGCTTACACTTTGATGTGTAAATGAAGTGTTGAGAGAGGCTCTGAAATGGTTGGGTTTGAATGGGTTAATTCTGAAGGTTGTGCATTTTTTTTTTTTTTTTTTTAGAGAGAGATTTTTTGCTATAGGGCATGTGTGCTTGTGAGAGAGACAGAGAGACATACAGAGAGAGAAAGTGAAAAAGCACCCCCATCGGGGTATGGCCATGACATATTCCCCTCTCCTCCATTCTTCTCGAAATTTTGGGTGTGTGCATGTGATACACACACACACACACACACACACACACACACACACATTCACACACTCCCATGCATGCCCAGCATGAGTTTCAAGTTGCCAGGTCCCATATTCGAACCGCATTTGTCCATGTGACAGTACAGGGCCTTAACCACTATGCCACCTGCTGGCCCCAAGTCATGCATTATTTATTTATTTAAAGAATTCTTTCATTTACATTTTATTTATTTATTTGTTATTATTATTTTTATTTGATCAGAGAAGGACAGAGTGAAAGACAGAGAGAGGTAAAGTGAGAAAGCAAGCCTCCAGGTCTGGGACTCGAACCATGGTCGATGTTGTGGGAGTCCAGTGCCCTTAACTACCACCCTACCAGCCAGCCCCAGATTGTGTATTCTTAACTAGGTCTCAGGGCTCATGGACTCGTACATAGAGAAATTGATCAAACTTCTGAGTTCTTTTCTAGCCCTGTGATCTTTTGTCTAACATGGTGATTTTTAGTTTTTTATTTTTGCACCTTTCGGAAATCCACTTGTTTATTAGAAAAGATCCTTTGAATCTCCTTGTACTTGTATTTGTCCCCAAAAGAGGCAAAACTGCTCCAAAATAAAGCAACAATTTTTGTGTCACATGGACTTTGGGACATAATTTTTTTTCTTATTAAGATAATGAATTATGGGATCAGCAGTTAGTGTAATGGCTATGTCACTGGACTCCCAGGATCACGGTTCGAGTCCTGGACCTGGTGGCTTAAACTCAGGCTGGGCATGTGTGCATGCTTGCCCAAGAGGAGAAGGGATTGCAGCATGGCCATCTCCCATGGGGGAGTTATTTCTAACTTTCTGTCTTTCTGTCTCTCTCTTTCTGGTGAGCACATGTGCCCTATAGCTAAAATCTCTCCAAAAAAAAAAAAATGTTTGTTCACTTTAACAGCACCTATTCATTCCAAATATACAGTCAGAGTGGATGAGAGTTGTTGCCGTCTCACTGCGTTTATGTAATATAGCATTTATGTTATATTTATGTAACTTGTTTTCTAATACTTACTGACTTTCACCAAAGAAGTTTTAAGGAGTGTGATGTTTAAAACATTCCTCTTGTTACTTCATGGCTCCAGTTTGGTTCTGAGTCTTTTCTCCCTTTCGATTCCTTTCTAGTTGGAGGAGAGCAGATAAGTGCCATTGGACGGGGCATCTGTGTGCTGCTGGGCATTTCTCTGGAAGATACACAGAAGGAACTGGAGCACATGTAAGATGCAGATTTCTTTTCTTTTCTTTCTTTTTTAGAATTATTTTATTTAACTTTATTTATTATTATTATTATTATTATTATTATTATTATTATTAAATTTGACCAGAGAGAGACACAGAGAGAGAGGTAGAGTGAGAAAGCAAGCTGCCAGATCTGGGACTCTAACCATACTCTGCCATGTGGGAATCTGGTGCCTTAACTGCCATACTCCCTGCTGTCCCTAAGATAAGGATTTCTAAGTTATTACTATTTGCATGGGCTGTGTGGTGGTTATGCTTAGAACTTTCTTAGTATTTTGTGCCTGTTATGTCAGACCCTATCACTTTTTAAAAAAGGTTTATTTATTTATTGATATTTCGACAGAATGAGAAAGAGACAGAGAAGTCCTTTCAACAACATCTCATGCTTTCTCAGCTAGCCATGTTTGAGCGTACACACTTGCACCTGACATGTACAGGTCACCTGGGAGCTGAACCTTGGTCTTCCATGTGGCTTTGGCATTGCAGAGCTTTGCCTTACTGTGCTGTGTCACCATGGTTGGGCCACTTAAAAAAAATGTATTTTTTATTTATAAAAAATTTACATAACATTAAATATCCTATTTTAATATTTGGTAATTATATAGTAAATTGGCTTTTGGTATATCCAAAAGGTAAAACTATCACCACTATGTAATTTTAGAATATTTTCATTACCCTGAAATGAAACCCTGTAATATTTAACTGTTATCTCCCTATCTCCCCTCGTCCATAGCCTTCCTTGCCTCTATATACTTTTAAAATAATTATTTATTTAATTTTATTTGTTATTATTATTTTTTAATTTGATCAGAGAGGGACAGAGAGAGAGAGAGAGAGAGAGAGAAAGAGAAAACAAGTCACCAGGTCTGGGACTTGAACTGAGGTTGGCCATGTGGGAGTCCAGCTCCTTAACTACCGTGCCTCTTGTTGGCTTCCTGACGTCTGCTAATCACTATTCTACTCTCCCTTCTATGAGGTCACTTTTTTTCTTTTAAATGCCAGATGGTGCATACATGTGTGTATGTGTGTGCGTGTGCATATAAGAGAGAGACAAAAAACAAACTTCAATGGGGCCTGATTATGCCACAATCCATTTTTCTCCAGCTTTCCATCCTATTAGGATTGAGGGCATATGTGTGCTGGGTAGGATTTTCACGTCACTAGAGTTAAGACTTGAACCCTAGTCAGCCATATGGACTCTGGCTTTCTCTGCACAGTGCTTAATTGCTGTGCTATAGGGCTGGTCCCAGAGATCAAATTTTCTAGCTTCTACACATGAATGAAAACACATAGTAGTTTTCTTTCTATGTCTATCTTATTCTACTAAACATAATATCATGTAGACTCATCCATCTTGCCACAAATGACAGGATTTCATTATTTTTAATGGCTGAGTAATATTCTATTGTATATAGAATACATTTTCTTTATCCATTCATCTGTTGATGGATGCTTAGTTTGGTTCCATACCTTGGGTGTTGTAAATAGGACTGCATTAACCATAGGAGTGCATATACCTCCTCGACATAACTGATTTCCTTTGGCGATAGTAAAGTGAAATGACTGGATCATAAGGTACTTCTGTTTTCAGCTTTTTGAGGGACCACTGGACTGTTTTCCATAATGGCTGTATTAGTTTACATTTCTACCTATAGTGTTTAAGAGTTCTCCTTTCTTTGCACTTTACCAGCACTTGTGATTATTTTTGTCTTTTATAAAAATGAATTAATTAACTAATAATTTTTACAATTAAAGTATGAATTTATTTTGGTACAAAACCTTTTTGAAATTCAAACATAGTTTTCCCATTACACATATTTCCATGAGCTTTACTTTCCCTGAAACATTTTTTTTAATTAATTAATTAATTAATTTACATTTATTTTCTTTTTTTTTTTTGAAGAGATTTTCACTGTAGGGCGCGTGCGCTCGCCAGACAGACAGAGAGAGACATAGAGACAGAAAGCAAGAAATCACCCCCCAGGGGGGATGGTCACGCCACAATCCCTTCTCCTCCATTCTCCTCTCGGGATCTTGGGCACGCACGCACACGCGCCCGGCGTGAGTTTTAAGCCACCGGGTCCGGGACATGAACCGCGGTCGACTACGTGGGAGTCCAGCGACATAGCCATTACGCTAACTGCTGGTTCCCTACATTTATTTTCTAAGCATCGTCACAGTGTACAAAATATGACTTCCCATCCAGACTATACTGCATAGTGGCTTAATCGTGCATGTTATTGTCAATAATTTTCCATTTCTAGCTTCATATATGTGTATGTATGTGTGTGTATGTATATGTATATTTATTTCATTTTTAACCCCTATTTCTGACTCTGCCCTTTTCCACCCTCCTCCCACACTATCTCTGGTGTCTACAGTTGTTTTTCATTCCTTTTCCCCTCACATTTTATTGATCACACAATTTCTTATATGATCTAACTACTTTCAATAGCAAGTTCAGCTGGTAATTTCAAGAAAAGCAGTTTTAACTTTAATAAATCAAAGAAATGCTAAGGAACTTTGCTTAAAACTTAAAGTCAGGAAACAGGTTAGGATTCTGTTAAAATAGTAGGTACATGAACCTATTGGCAACTCAAGACAAGACAAAAATCCTTAAAACCGGACAACAAAGCCTAGAAGAAAATCAGCAATGATTTAAGTAAAAAGTCATAAAATCCTATTTCACCAGTTAAGTCTCATGTACTTAATTTATCTTCTGTTGTGGTTCAATCTTCCCGATTAAATTCTGGGATATAATATTCAACTCCTGACTTGTTCTTTCGATTAAGTTGTCTGTTTTCTTAGTTTTTGAACTCTTATTTCTGTGTGTCTGTATTTAATTTTCCTGGTATAACACCCCCTTGAAAACTTCTTGGAGATTTGTTCTAGTGTTGGTAAATTCTTTCAGGTTTTGTTTATCTGAGAATGTTCTTGTCTTTTCTGCCCATATGGAGGATAACCTTGCCAGGTACAGTATTCTTGGTTGAAATTGCTTTTCCCTTAACACTTTTAATATATTTTCCCATTCTTTCCTTGCTTGCATTGTTTCTAATGAATGGTCAGCTGTTAGCCTGATGGGATATCCTTTGGAGGTAACTTGCCATTTTTCTCTTGCCAATCTTAGTATCTTGTCTTTGTCTGTGGTCTCGGTCAATCTGGCTGTAATGTGTCTTGGAGACGATCTTCTTGGATTGATTCTATTTGGGGTCCTTTGTATTTCTCGGGACTGGATCTTTGAGTGCCTCTCTAGGTTTGGAAAGTTTTCTTGCAGGATTTCATGGAATAGATTGTCATGCCCTTATGAGTATCTATGCCTTCTAGGATACCAATTATCCAGATGTTTGGACGTTTGATGGTATCTATTATTTCTCATATATTATTCTCATTTTTTGGGGCAATTTTCTCAGTCTTTGTGGTGGATTTTTCTAGACTAGCAATTTTGTCTTCTATGTCTGAGATTCTATTTTCTGTACGATCTAGTCTGCTTTTAATACTTTCAAGGGAGATTTTAACTTCCTGTCTTATAGCCTTCATCTCTAACAGTTCCATTTGATTCTTTCGTAAAGTGTTTAATTCCTCTTTTAGATCTTGCAAGAATTTCCTCACCTCCTGGAACTCGTCAGCTCTTTTCTCCTTTCTTTTCTGCAGTTCATTGTCTCTCTTCTCTTCCATCTCTGTTATCTTCATCATTATGAATATTTTAAATTCTTTATCAGACATTTCCATGATTTCCATTGAACTGCTTGTAGATGAAGAGGAGTTATTCTTTTCCCTTGGAGGAGAGGTATTTTCTTGCTTTCCCATATTTCTTGTGGCCCTGCGGTGATTTCTAGTCATGTTGCGTTTCTTCCTGATTCTTGAAGTTTGATCTGAGCATTCAGGAATGTTCAGAAGGAGGTGATCTTTTTGCTGTTCCATTTTTATCCCTTTGTGCCTCAGATTCATTTGAGTTTGTGGGCTGGAAGCCGAATTATCAGTAGAAAACCTTCATTTCTCTTTTTTCCCCTCAAATCACTAGTTTTCAGGAGACATGGAGGAATCTTTTTCTGAAGGCCTGCCCCTTGTCTCTCCACTCGAGTTTGTGGGCTGGTGGCTGAATTATCAGTAGAAAATATTCATTTTTCTTTTTTCCATGAAATCACTAGTTCTCTGGAACCTTGCAGGAGTCGTCTTCTTTCTTCTTCCTTTTTTTTTTTTTTTTCTCTTTTTGATAATGGCCATTCTTACTGGGATGAGATGATATCTCATTGTAGTTTTGATATTCATTTCCCTGGTGGTAAGTGATGTTGAGCATTTTTCGTAATGTTGCCATTTGTATGTGTTCTTTGAAAAACATTTATTGGATCATTTGCCATTTTTTAAATGAGATTATTTGTTTTTGTGCTGCTGTATTGTTTGAGTTCCTTGTATATTCTGGATATCAATCTCTTGTTGGATGAATAATTTGCAAATATTTTCATCCATTCTGTTTCTTCACTCTGTTGATTGTTTACTTTGCTGTGAAAAAGCTTTTTAGTTTGATGTGATCACATCAATTTATTTTTGTTTTTGTTGCCTGTGCTTTTGAGCTTTTACTTTATTTTTATTTGAATTTTAAAAAATAATTACTTATTTTATTTATTATTATTATTATTTTTAAATTTGTTACAAGGCACGTGCACTCACTAGAGAGAGCCAGGGAGAGAGAGGAGAGAGAAAGTGAGAAAGCAAGTTGAAAATTTGAACCGCTGTTGGCTACGTGGGAGTCTAGCACCCTTACTGCCATGTCACCTGCTAGCTCCTAGCAGGAGCTTTTATTTACTTTATTTTATCTTAAATAATTATTTTATTTAATTTTATTAATCTTTTTTTGGGGGGGAGGGAGAATTTTGCTATAGGGTGTGCCTGCTTGTTAAAGAGATAGAGAGAAACAGAGAGACAGAAAGAGAGAAATCACCCCCCACCATGCTGTAATCCCTTCTGTATTTTCCTCTCAGGATTTTGGGCACACATGCACATGTGCCTGGCATTAGTTTCAAGCCTCTGCATAATTGAACTGCGGTTGGCAATGTGGGAGTCCAGTGATGTAACCATTATGCCATCTGCTGATCCCTCATTATTTAAAAAAAGTTTGACCAGAGGGAGACAGAGAGAGAGAGAGGAGAAAGTAAGAAAGCAAACCACCAGGTCTGGACCTCAAACCATGGTCAGCCCTGTGGGAGTCTAATGCCTTAATCATCACCCCACCTGCCAGCCCCATGAGCTTTTATTTTTTAAAAATCTTTGCTCAGATCAATGTTCAGAAGTATTTTCACCTAGTTTTTTTTTTTTTTTTTTGAGAGGAGTAATCTGCCAGACCTTCTTTACCCACTAAGCAATGTACATTTCTCAATCAGACTTCCACCTAGCAGAGTGAGAGCACATTTAACCTCTGTTCCTTTTGCTGCTACGTCTGTGGACCATGCCTCTTTTTCTCTTAATGTAAAAATGGAGCATTTTTTCTTATGTGTGATTTCTCTCTTTTAATTGATACAATATGATCCAGGCACTAGTAATACATTTTTAAAATGGTGGGCCAGCTCTGAAACCTGGTTGTTAAGTGAGCTGAATCCTTTGTGGTGCAGTTCAAGTCCTAGACCTGGTGGCTTGAGAAAAATGCTGGACACATGTGCATGCCTGTCCCAAATCCCAACAGGATGGAGAAATGGAGAGAAGGGCTTGTAGCATGCCCATGCACCAGTGGCAGGTTCTTCTCCCTCTCTGTCTGGTGAACACATGTACCCTCTGACAATTACATACATGCATACATACCCAGTTGTTCATTGTTCACATAAGGATCTGAAACTCATAGAGGTTAAATTCTTTCTGCCAGGTGACACATACACAGTTAGCAAAAAGCCTGAATCCCATTTAGAATCTGAGCTACTTCACTTTGAAGCTGGTACTCTTCTTGCTTTTTGTTTGCTACAGGGTGCATGTGCTTGTCAGTGAGAGAGAGAGAGGGAAAGTGAGAAATCACCCACCATGTGGAATAGTCATGCTGCAGTCCCATCTGTAGTCTCCTCTTGGGATTTTGAGCATGCGTGTATATGCACCCCGTTGTTTTTCAAGCTGCTGGATCTGGGACTCAATCCTTGCAGTTAACCATGTGGGATCTAGTCATCTTAGCCTCCATGCCACCTACTGGCCTGGAGCTGGCACTTTTTTTGTGTAATTTTCCATTGCTGTTGCCTGACTGGTTCTTAGTACAGTCAGTTCCTTCCCATTTGCTCCTTCTCCAGCACCATTGAGCACATCTACTTTAGATCTGTTTATTCTGCCTCTTGGCCAGAGAGTGGATATAACCCCCCTCAGACTTGGGGAGCCAGTCTGTGGCCCCCTGTTTCAGGTTGTTGGATCTCACATGTCCATCCATATGGTTCAAGTTCTGGACTTGGCAGCTTGAAAAATGCATCAGGCACGTGTACATGTGCTTAAATTCCTGAAAGGAAGAAGAAGTAGAGGAGAAAGGGTTGTGACGTGACTGTGCCCCAAGTGTGGTGCAGAATTTCCCGCGTTCCACTTTCTCTGTCTCTCTTTGGCAAGTTCACACATCTCTGGCAAATTAAGAAGTTAGAATTGGACCCATGTTTTGGCATATCTCACAATTTGAAGGAACAGATAGTGGCTATTTTCCTCTTAGCCCCACTGATACCTGCTGTGGAGGAACTGGAAAAATCAAGGAAATCCTAAAGTAAGTATAAGAAGTAGAACTCTTATTACCCTGTATTACAAATGAGGAAACTGAGGCATGGAGTAGATAAATAACTTGCCCAAGGTCATGACTTCTGTAAATGGCGTACTAATAACATCATATGTCCACTTGGGTAGGATGTTGATGATGTTTTGGGGGAATGGAGTGTGTTGGGGGTGCTTGTGATCTTTCAAGTGGGTCTCACTGCTCTTTTCCCCCCTTAGGGTCCGAAAGATTTTAAACCTGCGTGTGTTTGAAGATGAGAGTGGGAAGCACTGGTCAAAGAGTGTAATGGACAAACAGTACGAGGTGCTGTGTGTCAGCCAGTTTACCCTGCAGTGTGTCCTCAAGGGGAACAAGCCCGACTTCCACCTAGCGATGCCCACGGAGCAGGCAGAGGGCTTCTACAACAGCTTCCTGGAGCAGCTGCGCAAGTCGTACAGGCCGGAGCTCATCAAAGGTAGGCAGGAGAATGGGTCCAGGCCAGGCTCAGGCCCAGGAAGGGAACCTCTGGGCCACTTTCAGGCAAAGGGGAAGCAGTATCTGTAATCACAGTAGCTCCTTTTCTGAAAAGCCATTGTTTATGCTTATTACTTAATGTAATTACTGCTGCCACTGCTGCTGTTGGGCTTAATACATGTTCTCATGTCCTCTGGATGCTCCTGATACCATTTACCCTTCTCCATGCTTCTGTTCCCATTTTGAAAATGTTTACGGGGCCAGGTGGTGTTTCAGTGGCCCACAGGAGAAAGGTCCTGGATTTATATCTTGGTACGTCCCTGAGCACACAGGGCACGGACACGTGCCCATAATCCAGACCAGCTGAGACGGGGTAGACTACTTGTGTGGACCCTTTTGGGGGGTGCCTTTCTCTCAGTATCTCTCTCTTTTTCTCATGGGAGAACTAATTAAATAAACTTAAAAAGTTTAGGAATCCAGAGGTGTGGATGATATAGTGGAGTTTCATTGGTTACTTAGGTCAGCCCTTTCCAGTAGGTACGTAGTGCAAGCGAAATATGTCATTTTAATTTCTAGTAGCCACATTTTAGAAAAGTAAGAGAAACAGATCAGGTTAATTTAAAATATATATTTAAAGTAATATACCCATTATGATTTTACTATGTAATCAGTATAAAAAGTTATGAGTTAGTTTACATTATTGTTTATTTTTTTGATGGCCAGATGGTGTGTGTGCTTGCTAAAGAGAGGGGCAGAGAGACAGAGGGAGAGGGAGAAAGCACCCCTAATGGGGTATGGTTGCACCTCAATCCCTTCTCCATCCTGTCAGGATTTTGGGCATGTACGCACAAGTGTTCATTATGATTTTCAAACCAGCAGGGCCAGGATTTGAACTGCAGTCAGCCATGTGATATCTGGCTTCCCTTAACCACAAGGCCATGGAGCTGGCTTACTTTATATATTTTTAAAGGTTTTTTTTCTCTTTATCTTTTTTTAAGGAATCATTTTATTTAACCTTATTTATTTATTTGTTTTAATTTGTCCAGAGAGGGACAGAGTGAGAGTGAGAGAGAGAAAAAGAAAAAGGGAAAGTGAGAAAGGAAGCCGCTGGCCTGGCACTTGAACCACAGTCGACCATGTGGGAATCCAGTACCCCTAGCCACCACGTCACCTGCTGACCCCAGGTTTTTTAAGTTTATTTTTAAGAGTAATTTTAGGTTTGCTGAAAAATTGAGAGGAAGGTATAGATTTTCCCCCACATGTACACATGCACAGATTCTCCCATTTTCAACATCCGCACCAGAGTGGTATGCTTGTTACAATAGGTGAGCCTGCTTTGACAAGTCATTATCACCCATAGTCCATGGTCTATATTAGGATTCACTCTTAAAATTTTTAAAAAATAATTATTTATTATTTAATTTTATTTATTATTATTATTTTTTAATTTGACCAGAGAGAGAGAGAGAGAAAGAGAGAGAGAGATGTAAAGTGAGAAAACAAGCCGCCAGGTCTGGGACTGGAACCATGGTTGGCCATGTGGGAGTCCAGTGCCTTAACTACCACACCATCTGCTGGCCCCTAGTAGGGTTCACTTTTGTTGCTGTATATTTTGTGGGTTTGGACAAATTTATAAGGATATATGTACAGTATTACAGTATCATATAGAGTGTTTTCACTGCCCTAACATATGTGCCCTACCTGTTCATCCTTCTCTCTTCCCAACCTCTGGCACCTCTGACTTTTTTTTACCATCTCTGTAGTTTTGTCTGAATTTCATACCGTTAGAATCATACAGTTAGTAGCCTTTTCAGATTGGCTTCTTTCATTTAGTAATGTGCGTTTAAGGTCCCACCATGTCTTTTCATGGCTTGATTAGCACATATGTTTTTAGTGCTAAGTAATATTCTATCGTCTTCATATATCACAATTTATTTATCTAGTCACCTACTAAAGGGTATCTTTTTTGTTATTTATTTATTAAAGAATTATTTTTTGTTTAACTCTATTTATTTATTTATTTATTTTAATTTGACCAGAGAGGGGCAGAGTGAGAGAGAGAGAAGGAAAGTGGAAAGTAAGCTGCCAGGTCTGAGACTGGAACCATAGTCGGCAATGTGGGAATCCAGCACCCTTAACCACCATGCCACCTGCCAGCCCCTGTTATTTATTTATTTTTTTATTTTACTTTTTTTGGAGAGTTTTGTTTGTTTGTTTGTTTTTTATTTTTATTTTTTTGCTATAGGGCGTGTGCGCTCGCCAGACAGACAGAGAGAGATATAGAGACAGAAAGTGAGAAATTACCCCCCAGAGGGGATGGTCACGCTGCAATCCCTTCTCCTTCATTCTCCTCTCAGGATCTTGGGCACGCATGCACACCCGCCCGGCGTGAGTTTCAAGCCACGGGGTCCGGGACGCGAACAGCGGTCGACTACGTGGGAGTCCAGTGACATAGCCATTTCGCTAACTGCTGGTTCCCGCTGTTATTTATTTTATACAAGATAAAAGAGCACATGCCTGTTCATGAGAAAGAGGGTTGTGTATTTGTGGGGGGAAGCACCAGGGTTTCATCATGCCACAATCCCTTTCTCCCAACCTTTCAGCTACTCAGCATCCTGGGCACATGTGTGTGAGCCTGGCATGTTTTTATGCTGACCTAAGGATCTGAACCCAAAGTCAGCCAGTGGCTTCTAGCCCTGTAATTTAGTATGCCACCAACTGCACCACTAGGCTGGGCCTGAAGGATATCTTGATTGCTTCTGAATTTAGGCAGTTATGCATATAGCTGCTGTAAACATCTATGAATAGATTTTGTATATGCATAAGTTTTCAAATCTTTTGGTAAATACCAAGCAGTATGATTGTTAGACTGAATGGTGAGCATATGTTTAGTTTAATCCCACCAGTATCGAATGAGAGTTTCTTGTTGCTCTCCATCCCCACCAGCATTCGGTGTTGTCAGTGTTCTAGATTTGGGCCATTCTAATAGGAATGTAGTAATATGTCATTGTTATTTTCATATGTTTATTTGCTAGCTCTATGTTTGGTAAGCTGTCTGTTAAGGTCTTTAGCCTTTTGTTTTGTTCTTGGAGAGGTTTTTACTATAGGGCGTGTGCGCTTGCCAGAAAGAGAGACAGAGAGACAGAAAGCGAGAAATCACCCCGCTGAGGGGATGGCCACACCACAATTCCTTCTCCTCTGTTCTCCTCTTGGGATCTTGGGCACACATGCACACGTGTCTGACATGAGTTTAAGCCACTGGATCTGGGACTCGAACCGTGGTCGACTACATGGGAGTCCAACAACATAGCTATTAGGGCAACTGCTGGTCCCTTTGGACTACTTTTTAAAATTAGATAATTTGTTTTCTTATGGTTGAGTTTTAAATTTTTGTCTATTTTAGGTATGATGTTTTTACTAAGTATGTCTTTTGCAAATTATTAATTTTGTGAATACTTATGCTTTATCAGCTATATCCTTTGCAAATATTTTCTTCCAGTCTATGGCTTGCCTTTTCATTGTCTTGACAGTCTTTCACAGAGCAAAAAACTTTAATATTAATGAAGTCTAGTTTATCAATTCTTCCTCTTATGGATTTTGCCTGTAGTATTATATATGAAGAGACTTTACCCAGCATGATATACACCTCAGTCCAGCCCGGTTGAGACCACCATACACATCCTCGTCAACAGATGATAAAACTTATCTGTGTCCCACAAGTGCCTTATCTCTCCATTTTCCCCCAAAGTTTCCTACGTTCTTCCCCTCTCACACTCTCTTTCCATTTTGTCTCTGGTGTCCATTACAATTTTTAATACTTTTATGTTCTCTAGTCTTTCAGTCTCTATCAAAGAGTGCAGACGGTCAGTATGTGTTAAGTGGAGAAATGCAGTGTCTCTTTCATAGCCTGACTTGCTTCACTCAGCAACAAATCTTCCATATTCGTCCACTTTCTATCAAATCTCAGGGCTTTGTTGTTTTTTTTTATGGCTGAATAGTATTCCATGGAATATATGCGCCACAATTTTTCAATCCATTCGTCTGTTTGTGGACATTTGGGTTGGTTCCGTGCCTTAGCAATCATGAATAAGGCTGCAATGAATATAGATGTGTAAGCGTTTTTCTGACTGAGTGCTCTCCTGTCCTTTGGGTAGATACTCAGGAGTGGAACTGCTGGATCATATGGTAGTTCTATATGTAGGTCTTTGAGGAACCTCTATATCATTCTCCACAGTGGCTGGACCAATTTACATTCCCACCAATAGTGTAGGAGTGTTCCCCTTTTACCACATCCCCTCTAGTACTTTTCATTATTTGTTTTTTTAATCTTTGCCATTCTGACTGTGGTTAGGTAGTATCTCATTGTGGGTTTTTTTTTTTATTATTTTTTATTTTTTTTATTTTTTATTTTTTATCATCATATCTTCTTCATATTACATTGGATTACATATAACTTTACAGTGTCTTCAAAAGGGAATGCCATGCACGTCAGTCAGTACAGAGACATTAATCTCCCCACTTCAACAATCCATATCTTTTCTGTTTTCCCCAATCATTATCTTTATTATTCTAATTATTTTTATAGAACAGTCAATTGCTATTTCTTGTTTTGCTTGTAAAAATACTTTGCCC